GATCAATTGAAGAATAAATAAAAAAGGAAAAATGTGTTTGTTAATTGAATCTTTAAAAATTAGAAAGAAAAATAAAATAAAATTACATTATTTTAATAAACTTGTATTGAAAAAGACAAACAATATTTTCTTAAAGTAGGAATGAGAGTGTTTTTATTTTATTGAAATAACATGGTTTTGGAGTGTTTTTCTCCTAATTGTTTAGAGATTATGTTGATAAATACTAATATTATAAAAAAATATTGAAATATTTTTTTAGAAAAAGTAAATTTTAACTTTAATTAGTTTAACTCAAAAAAATTATTATAAATTTAATCATAAAAAAGCAAAAATGTACCTTGATACTATTAAAAAACTTTAAATTGTTATATAAAAAATTAAAAAAGAAAATAAAAGAATACTAAAGAAAAACTATAAATTTAAAATTGTTTAAATAGAGAATCAAAGGTTTTTTCTTTTTTCTTTTTTTGCTTAATAAATAAGGAAATGTTTAAAAACCTCAATTTGTAATTAGTTAAATTAATTTATGTAAGTTCATTTTATTTAAATCATATCCTTTTTCTAAATTCTTTATTTAAATCCTAAATATTTTCTCTACATTTGAAATAGTCTTTGAAATTCATACTATAAAAACAAAATTTTAACAAATAAAATTTAGAGTACCATATTAAATGTTTTTCAAAAGTTTAGGCGGGCGGCTGCCGCCGTTGTCCTTCATGCCCTCCGTCCCTGAGTTAACTGTAAACAAGTTGGAAAGTCCTTTTGTCTCTTAAAATTTTATTTAAATTATAATCTTAATGAATCTTGATTAATAATATAAGATAATATCTTGAGGTGGTTAATAATTAAAAATTTCAAATTCAAATCTTGAGTAAGTGAAAAAGATATTAGAGAAAAAAAAAGTATTTCTTTTTGTATAATCCATTATTATCGGATATATCAAAAAAAATTATAATTAAGATTTTAGAAGATATTTTACCCCATTTTCCACAGTCCAATTAAACACAACCTTACAAATTTACTAAGACTTGTGTGTGAACGTCGTATATACCCCAATGTGCCGTCTCTATCTCAAATCAGCAGCGAGCAGAAAGCATACATAATTAGGCATTTTAAAATTAATGTCCATATATTATGGTCTGAGTAGACAGCCATTAACTAGAAAATGGCCTTATACTGGATCTACATTTCACTTCACACATTCTCTGCAGAAGAGTTGGATATATGTACGTAACACAAAACATGGAGGGTGGTGCTCAGTGCTTGGCTAATTCTGCGCCTCTGACGCCCGTGATCTTCCTAGAGCGAGCCGCTCGTGTTTATGGAGACAAGGTGTCGATTGTTTATGGTGAAGTTAGCTTCTCCTGGAGAGAAACGCATGAAAGATGCCTCAAACTCGCTTCTGCTTTGGTCCAAATGGGGATTTCTCGTGGTGATACTGTAATTTGATTATTTTTCGTTTCTATTAGAAATAAACTGATTTCATGAATATATGCATTCATGTATGTTTGAATCATGTCTTCTAAATTCAAAGGTCACGGTCTCTCTTCTCTCTGTTGACTCAGGTTTTCCGGAGTTTTAAGACCGAAAAAGGGTTCTTTTGGGCTGGAACAACCCATTTAGATTTTGGGCCGCTCAAAAGATAAGGCTTTTCTCAAGGTATATTGACCCAAATAAAAATGAAGTCGGCTGTTCTGTCATTTATGCTCTTTTGTTTCATTGAAAAAACATAATATTTAGAGCCAAAATCACTTATAAGCAAATCTTATATATTATATTTATATAGGATTTTAATTATTTATTTTATTTTTAATAGTTAAAATTTATTCAATTTTTATCATTTATTAAAAATAATTATTTTTTTCATCTAAAAAATCATGATAAATCTAAATAATTAAAAGTGAAAAAATAAATGACTAATATTTTATATAAATGTAATGTGTAGAACTTGTATGCAAGTAAATCCTTACTCTAATATTTATTGGTTTATAACAAAGGATTTTTCTTGGCACACATGATGTATTAATTATACTTTTATAAAAAATTAATTTACATAGAAAAAATAAAAGTATATTTTAAATTAATTAACTATCTAACTAAAATCATCTATGTAGCATTGAGGTTAAAAATAATGTTTACTCAAAAAGTTGTAGTGTAGTTGGTAAGGGGGTATGCTCCATTGTTGACTAGGATTTTATTCTTTAAAAAAGCCAATAAAGATGTAATTTTTTTATAAATTTATTAATTCCGACATAGATGAATTGCGTTTAATTAGATTGAGAATGGATTAATTTTAAGGTATGTGTAAGTTGGTTTTGAGGCATGCGATAAGTTGACCCAAAATACCCTAACAATTAAATAAAAAAAGATACTATTAATACATTATAACTCAAAACTTTTAGATCATAAAGACAACAATTAAAAAAAAT